AGTCCGCGACCCCGGGCGCCCGGACCTGCGCTCTGAGCCCGGCTCCTCCGCGGCGGCGGCGCGGCGGCTCCTTCCCGCCAGCCATGCCGTTCGTCGAGGTGGACACCAACTTGCCCGCCAGCCGTGTGCCCCCGGGGCTGGAGAAGCGGCTGTGCGCGGCCACGGCAGCCATCCTGGGCAAGCCCGAGGACGTGAGCGTGGGCCGGGCAGCACGGGGCGGGAGGAGGCTGCCGGGCTGGGGCCAGCCCCCCCACCCCCGGCTCTGCGTCCCAGGGACCCCCCCCGCCCCGTCGGCCCCGTGCTGTCTTCCCTGGCCCTGACACCAGCGCGACCCCCCGGGACCGCGCCCCGAGCCTCCAGCCCTGACCCCGGGGGCCCGCGCAGGTCGCCTCTCGCCCTCCCGGGGCCTCTGCGCGGACGCGGCCTGCACCGGCTTCAGGCGAAATTTCGGTGTTGCCCGCAGCGCGTGAACGTAACGGTGCGGCCGGGTCTGGCCATGGCGGTGAACGGCTCCCCCGAGCCCTGCGCGCAGCTGCTCATCTCCTCCATCGCAGTGGTGGGCACCGCCGAGGAGAACCGTGCCCACAGCGCCCGATTCTTCGAGTTCCTCACCAAGGAGCTGGACCTGGGCCAGGATCGGTGCGTGGGGGCACGGAGAGGATGGGGGCCGCGATCCCATCCCCGAGCCCCTCCCAAGGTTGGGGGAAAGGCAGTCCTCAGCTAGTGCCCTGGGCCCGCGGATGCTGGGTCCACCCTCAGAAGGGTAGGGGAATTGAATGGATTCCTGACACTGCCGTGGTTTCCTTGACACCTGGGCAAGGTGTGGCCTTCCAAACCTCGGTGAAGGTTTGGAAGGCTGTGAAGTGGGAAAGCTCTCCTTGAACTGCTCCCTGGGGGAATTGCTAGAGTCCTGTGGGATGGGGGTGCACTCTCTGTGCCTTGGCACAGGGGTAGGTTAGAATGTTATTTGCCTAACAAAGCTATGGCCGTTTATCATCTGCCTTTAGCCTTCTCCACATCTTAGAAAATCAAGAATGATTTTCTAGGAGAACTTCTCCAGCTTGGTCGGATGTGTGACCTCTGGGCCTGTAGCCAAATAGGTCCTGGGAGACTCAGGGAGTAGTGGAAAGAAAGTTGGCTTAGATGTCTGGAGACCTGGGTTCTGAGTCCAGGACAGCTCAGGGACTCAGGCAGTGACAAACCCGGAAATGAACCACCTCTGGTTTGTAGGCTTCTCTTCTGTGACTAGAGGAGAATGTATCAGTAATCACCCAAGAAGCCCGAACAGCCCCCCAACCTGGGATTCTGTGTCAGGGTTAAAGTTTCTTTCTGGGTGAAAAATATTCCTGAGCCAACCCCATGCCTATGAGGAACTAAGAGCATGAGAAACTTGAAAGAACCTTCCAGAATGGATCCTTTGTTGGCCTAAGAGGCCTAGTGAGGAATGGTTACTCCTGGGAGTGCTCAGACCTGGTCTTCAAGTCGGGATGAGGTATGAGGTAAAAATTGTAAGAACGATATGTAACATGTGAATGGTTACCTGTGCCAGGTTATCTATAAATACCTAACATTGCATGTTCCCATTTGATCCACGCAATCTCTCTCCCTCTGTTCATATCACCTTCTGCAGACATGCCATCCTTGTGATGTTTACAGATGGGAAAACCAAAGCTGTCACGCCAAGCCTTCCCCTACCATCCCTCAGGCTACACCAAGTATCTTACTCTTTACCGGAACTTCCCATCACTTCTGTGAGAGAGGCGTGTTCTCACAGTCTATGGAGGCAGTCCATACACATTAGTGGGGGGCAGGGGATGTCAGGTCACCCTGTGTCTGGTTTTGAGGTAACTTTGAGAAAACAGAAGTGCCTGGGGGTACTGCACATGCCCCCAGGGAGCTTGCAGTTTGAGAGTGAGTGGGCTACCCACAGCATACAGTGACCCTAGAGGCTCCCTTCTGCCCCTGAGGGGCCACAGTGGGAGATCATTAATGGGCTAAGGTAGGCTGCTCTGGGAGTCCAGGGTAGGAGTGCCCAGCTAGCAGTCTTGGAATATGAGGCATTAGCCAAGGAGCTGATTACATGTTTTTTGCTTTTTCTTTTTTTTCTCTTGAAGGATAATTATCCGCTTTTTCCCCCTGGAGCCCTGGCAGATTGGCAAGAATGGGACAGTCATGACTTTTCTATGACTGGCACAGAGGGCACCCAAGGCATGCATCTGTCAGCTGTCTGCCCCTTCCAGAGAGACCTCCTGGCAGAGTAAGGGCCTGCTGGATACCAGCTTCTGGTGCTCATTCATGCAGATCTGCCTGTGACCCCACAGTCGTCTTCTTCCCCAGCCTCGTATCAAATAAATGAAGAGATTTTTGTCTTTCTTTTTTTCTGTCCCACCTTGAAATCTTCGTCTTTCAAACGTGACTTATTTATCTCCCTTTACCCTTCCCTGGCATTCTGGGTCACCCTGGGCATCAGGGTTGGTGTATGAGGTGGGAACTTTAGGGAATCTGAGAGGTGAGATGTTTCCAGACTTCCAGGCCACTGTCTCATGTATTGTGTGTAGGCTGCTCAAATCCAAGGGTGGATAGTACAGCCTGGAGGCCTGGTTTTCCATCCCCATGTGCAGGCTGGTGGGGCTGGCAGCCGGTCCAGGCTGGGTCTTCCTACAGCTTTTGCTGACCAGATGTTCCTACCCTCAGCTTGGGTTGGCCCATGTAACTTACTGCCTATGGAATGCTGTGCCCAGCAGGGGAGCAGTGCGGTTGGGCTTCAGGGCCCTTTCCTGGGTATTTCCAAACTCCATCTTCTCCCATGAGTCTTACCAAAATTCCTCTGTAGCTGTGCACCTTGTAAAAGTCATGTCCTGGAATGGCAAACCTGGAAATGCAACGTCTGCCACTACAAACAGAATGAATGCAATTCCCACCTAAATACTATATTATGCTTTCACATTTCAGGGGATAGACAGGCATGGTGGGGGGAGCCCAAAAGGTGTCCTTTACAGTGACCTTCCAGATGTTTGATGCAGAGTTTACATATCATGACCCTTAGACCCGGTGGTGGGCACTGTGTTTACCTATAGAGTTGGAAGTCTCATCATCCTTGTACACCTTGTACGTCAGTGGAGTACCAAGTTGAGATTTTTGGTGTATGCTGTCAACGGGGTAAAGTTAGTTCCCAATGGAACAGTTCTTGTGCTTTTGCTCTTTGTACCCGACCACTGCTGTGGACTCTCATTAAAACCTAGAGCTCGGAGTTCCTTCCTTTGGCTCCCTGGCCCAACTTTTCCTGTGCTCATTCCTTCTGCCAACATGGTGTTCTGCTTCCCAGAGGGGCTCAGGGAATGTTCCTGGGTTGAATCTGAATGAATGGTTAAAGTGCCCAAGGAGGGGTTCAGGCCTAACTAGCCAGGACCATAAGGTAGTAGCCTCCTGCCTTGGTCCCACTTTGAATGTTTTTCCCCTACTGTAGGGAGAGTGAGGTCATTTGGTTGCTGTGGACGATTGTCCCCTCCCTGTCTCCACATTATCCTCACTGTGGCCCTGAACTTTGGCCCCTGGTAATACTGTGCTGCCAGAGTGATCCTACACTGCCTGTACTGTTTCTCACCTTCAAAAGCTTGCCACACAGCTCCTTGCTACGTGGGCCGCTCTTGCCATCTTTTTTCACCTGTTTCACTCCAGAGCATATTTCAAGATACGACTCAGGTGTGAGAGCTGCATCCAGGGGGTGCTTGTCATCCATTAAACTTGAAACCACCTGTTTCTGCCTCGGTCCACTGCCCTCCCCCCCAAGGCTGTACTCCATGTCAAGATTAGTGACTCCATTATTTTTGCAACTCCTGGTGCACAACTGAAGCTTATTGTTCTGAACTGACGCTATGAGTTCATCATGATTTTATCGCTTTTACATAAGGTCAAAGAGAAAGCCATAACATTCATTCCTATTTATCTATTTTTTTTTTTGCTGGACTTCAGCAATTATGAATCCCAACCACTCTGAAACCTTTCCCTGAAAAACCTCTGAGCTTCCAAGGGTTTAACCTCTCTCAGCCCAAGGCCGTTTTCGGGAAACTTTCAATGCTGAATCCTCTTTTCAGCTTTGGAATTGTTACTCCCTCCTCCCCCCGTTCATTTACCCGTCTTTTTTTTGTGTGTGTGTGACTTTTATCTTTGTCTCTTAAAGATTTTATTTATTAATGAGACACACACACACACACACACAGAGAAAGGACAGACACAGGCAGAGGGAGAAGCAGGCCCCATGCAGGGAGCCCGACGTGGGACTCGATCCGGGTCTCCAGGGTCACACCCTGGGCTGAAGGCGGCGCTAAACCGCCGAGCCACCCGGGCTGCCCTTTATCTTGGTCTCATTGGCTGACTGTATCTGTACCTTTCCGGCTTCAAATCGTTTTCAGAACGAGGCGAGGCTCGGGATATATAAGGGGGAACGCCCCTCCTCCCCCGGTTCCCTCTAAGCGTCCCCAAGTGTCCCCTGCCTTCCGAGCACCTGCCCCAGGTTGTAGCAAACCGTCCTTTAGCGGCTGCTCAGCGCCAGGCGCCGAGCTCCGCGTTTCCCAGGTATTACAAGTGGCGGAGCAGGGAAGCCCGACCCACGTCGTCGGGGCGCCCCCGCAGCAAACAGCGGGAGGGGGACACTCGCGCGCCGGCCGCTCGCAGCCCGCGAGGGCCAGGGGAGCTCGCTCGCCCGGCGGCGCGTGCGCCCTCGCTGATTGGCCAGCGGAGCCGGCACCGGAGCCAATGGGAGCGCGCCTTATTGTCAGGCGCGCAGCCGGCCGGCGCGGGGGTCGAGGCGGGCAGGCCGTTGCCTTGGAGACGCCCGGTGAGTTCCCGGGTGGCTGGCTCGGGGGCCTCCCCCGGGAGGGGGCGCGGCTCTGCTGAACTGGGGGTGGGAGAAGGGGCGCGGGCCTGGGGGGCAGCGGGCGCCGGGCCGAGGCCGGTGCGGACGCGGGAGCGGGGGGGGGGGCAGAGGGGCGCCCCCGGTAGCCTGAGTGTCCCATTCGGGGAAACCGAGGCCGGAGGGCGGGAGCGGCTTGGCCGGGCCTCCTCCCCGCCCTGGCCGACACCCTGGGGTGCCGAGGCCGGGCTCCAGCGTCGGGAGCGGTTCTCGGTGACGGCAGCGGGAGCCACCATTGACGGTGCGTCTGCCCGGCGCTGAGCCCGGGGCTCGCCCCTTCGCTTGCGTCCTTTGACTTCACCTTCACAGCAGCCCCGAGAGGTGAGTGCTGCTGCTGCCCGTAGCGCCGTGTACACGGCTGGAAACGGAGGCCCACGCGAGGTGAAGGGTCTTGTCCAGAGTCAGCCGACCAACTAGTGGACCAGCCCAAGTCTAGACTGAAAGAAAAACATAAATGTTAAAGATTTTATTTTTGAGTAATGCCTGCACCCCCTGTGGGACTTGAACCTATCACCAGGAGGTCAAGAGTTGCATGCCCTAAGGACTCAGCCCGCCAGGCGCCCCTAGACTGAAAATCTTGACTGCGCTGCTTCCTAGGAGGAGGAGGAGGAGGACCCCAGCTACACACAGCCTACGGACACACTCAGGTGTCCGCACAAGTGACTTCGGAGTCACTTAATTCTTTGGGGCCTGGCTTACTATGGGTTTATGGGTCTTAACTATGGGACTTGGGGTTTCACGCAGCTAAAATTCGTTGCATGGGATTCATAACTGTGGTTACAACGAAAATATCTGGGACGCCTGAGTGGCTCAGCGCTGGAACATCTGCCTTCTCAGCTCAGGTTGTGATCCCGGGTCCTGGGATCGAGTCCCGCATGGGGCTCCCTGCGTGGAGCCTGCTTCTCCCTCTGCCTACATCCTCTGCCTCTCTCTCTCTCTCTGTGTGTCTCTCATGAATAAAATAAAATTTTAAGAAAAAAAAAAAGAAAAAAACCTGAAACATGCTTTGAGTGGTCTCCTTCAGAGGTCGGCAGACTTATGTTGTAAGTGCAGTAATATTTGTATTATTAATAGAATTATATATCAGAGTATGCTGTGAATGTAATAAACATTTATAATAGTATTTTAGGCTTAGGAGGCCTATTTTGTCTACTCCGTTCTGGCATCGTACAGTGGATACAGGCAGAGACAATAGGTAAGCGAGTGGCAGTGTTCCAATACAATTTTATTTTTGGACACTAAAATTTGAATCTTATGTAATTTTTATATGATTTTCGTGTGTCACGAATTTTTTCATCCGTTTAAAAAGGTCAGAACCATTCTTTGCTCCAAGGCAGGTTAGCTTGCAGACCCCTAGTCTAGCCCAAAACCTCATCGGGTAGAGGAAACTGAGAATCAAAGAGGGGTCTCTTAGGCCAAGCTGATGACACAGCCAAGAAGAGAGCCACAGCACAGCCTAAGATCTAGGCTTCCCGACTCCCAGACCAGAGCACGTCAGGAAATACCACCTTTTATCACTGACTGGGTCAGGGTGCTGAGTTACTCAGTGTGTGCTCTTCTTTATCATATGTTCTTAAGGCTATGGAAACGGTGGCCTAACGAGTTTGGAAATTTGTGAGGTTAAATTCCTAAATATGCTATTCTGGGATAATATGATTGCTGGGCTGGGAGTCTGAGAAAAGAATAGATATTTTCTTTCTTCCTTTCTTTATTCAATAGTTCTTGCTCCTTAGTCTCCTTAGTCCTTTTTTATTTTTTTAACGATTTTCTTTCTTTCTTCGTGAGAGACACAGAGAGAGACAAAAGACTTCGGCAGAAGGAGAAGCAGGGGGCAGCCCTGGTGGCGCAGCGGTTTGGCGCCGCCTGCAGCCTGAGGTGTGATCCTGGAGACCCGGGATTGAGTCCCACATCGGGCTCCCTGCATGGAGCCTGCTTCTCCCTCTCCCTCTGCCTGTGTGTCTCTGCCTCTCTCTCTGTGTCTATGAATAAATAAGTAAAATCTTAAAAAAAGGAGAAGCAGGCTCCCTGCGGGGAGTCCGATGCAGGACTTGATTCCAGGACCCTGGGATCATGGCCTGAGCTGAAGGCAGCAGCTCAACCACTGAGCCATTAAGGCATCCCAGTCTCCTTAGTCCTTAACGATTACTTAGTGTTGTCTTAGTCTTGATATTTTTCAAGAGTACTCGTCAGTAATCAGATATCAGTCTAATATCCCTCAACTTGGATTTGTCTAATGTTTTCTCATGATTCATGTGAAGTTATGCATTTTGGGCCACAATAACACAAACATTGTGTTGTCCTTAGTGCATTATACCAAGGAGTTCAAGATGCTGATGTGTCTTATAACTGGTGATATTTATCTTGATTGCTTGGTTTAGTGTCTGCCAACTGAAAAGTTCCTATAGAGTTACTAACTTTCCCTGTCCAGTTAGTAGGTATCTTGGGTGAAATACTTTGGAAGGATGGGAATTCTGGTTTTCACAAATTTATGCCCACTGACCATAGTTAGGATCCATTTGTGGGTCCCTGTGGTGTGTGCCTAAAGGTAATTATTACTCTCTTCCCTTCTACATTTATCAATTCAAATTCAATTAAAGGGAGAGCTATCCCTTCTCTCATTAGTAAGGGCCCAGGGATATTCATTTTATTCCATGGGTTAAAATCTAATAAAAAAAATCTAATGTTACCATCATTTTGTTGTACACCGTTCTGACTTTGCTTGTTCAGGATCTCCTTCAGGTTAGCTGCTGTGTCTTCTCAACAAATCCTCATCATTTTGGGGAGCATTTATTTATTTTCTGGCACCTCCAGATGTTACAGGCTCATATTGTGTTCTCTCTGCCCCAAATATTCAATCGCAATTCTTATCTTTAGCCTTACAATATCCAATCAAGATACTATTCTCCACAGTTACTTAAATTAGTTCTTTTCTTCCGCATGGCCTTCGATGTGGTCATGTATTTGTAACACAGTATGTTCACTATTGACATTTATGTTCCATTTTGGGTTCCACCTAGATCTTAGTTGGTTTTAATTATTTTTCAAGTAGGAAGCATGACTGTGGTTATGAGAGTAAGAACTGTAACAAAGTATACTCAGGGAAGTGTCACTTCTCCCCCCCCCCCCCCCGCCATCTTGTTCCTGTTCTCCCCTACCTTTCACCCCTTTTCCACTCATCCCCTGCAGCTAACTGATCTCTTTGGTGTCTGGATTATCCTTTCTTTTGCACAGATGAACAGGTGTTCTTATCCGCTTCTTTTGTATATGAGAGATAGCATACTATAGATAATTGTGTTAGCTTTTTTCAATTAACAATGTCTTGAAAATCACCCTGTGTTCATAGAAATCTTACTCATTTTTAAAAAGTTTTATTGAAACAATTCATACACAATTTGCCTATTCATTGGGATAAAATGTACATACAATACAGTGGTTTTTAATATTCATAGAGTTGTGTGTCACCACAATCAATTTTAGAACATTTTTATCACCCCAGAAAGAAACTCTGTACCTATTAATAGTCAGTTCTCATTGCCTCCTCCCTTAGCCCTAGGCAGTCACTAGTAATTTCTGTCTATATAGATTTGCCTATTCTGGACAGTTCATATAAATGGGATCATGCAGTATGTGGTCTGTGACTGAATTCTTTCACTTAGCATAATGTTTTCATGGTTCATCCTATTGTCAATAGTTCATTAACTTTTTATGGCTGAATGATATTCTGTTTTATGAATACATCACATTTTATTTATCCAATTATCAGTTGATGGACATTTGAATTGTTTCTACTTTTGGTTACTTTGAAAAATGCTGCTATATCATTTCCTCATTAATTTTTACAGCTGTGTATTACTTCACTGTGTGGAAGTACCATGGTTTATCCATCCACTATACTATCTATAACTATTTAGGTTGTTTCCAGTCTCTTGAAATGACAAACAATGCTGGAATGAATAACCCTGTATATATGTATTTCATATTGTTGGAGGTGCATCTTTAGGATTGATTCCTAGAAGTAGAATTGCTGGGTTGAATGGTAAGGGCATTTGTGATTTTCTTAGCTGTTGTCAAATTCCCCTCCAGAGTGGTTGTGCCAGTTTGCATTCCCATCAGCAATGTATGAAAATAGTGCCTGTTTCCTGGCCACCTCCAACAGAAAGTGCTGTTAATTTTGCCAGTGCGATAGTGATAGTGTGATAAAAATAGTGTCTCAGTGCTTTAATTTGCATTTCTCTAATTATGAGTATGAAAACTTTTTCATGTTTGAGAGCCAGTTGTATGTCTGAGTGAATTATTTATTCGCATATTTTCCCTATTTTCCTATCAGTTTTTTTTTCCCCTTGGCTTATGGTATAATATACTTAATGTGAAATGTAACGTTTAAAAGAATTTTGTTTTTTTAAGATTTTATTTATTCATTCATGAGAGACACAGAGAGAGGGAGAGAGAGGCAGAGACCCAGGCAGAGGGAGAAGCAGGCCCCATGCAAGGAGCCTGATGCGGGACTTGATCCCGGGTCTCCAGGATCGTGCCCTGGGCCGAAGGCAGGTGCTAAACCACTGGGCCACCCAGGGATCCCTAAACAAATTTTTTTAAAAGATTTTATTTGAGAGAGAGACAGAGCATGAGTTGGGAGAGGGACAGATAGAGGGGGAGAAGCAGACTCCAATTGAGCAGGGAGGCCTGCTTGGGGCTGGATCCTAGGACCAATGACCTGAGCTGAAGGCAGACACTTGACCCTCTGAGCCACCTAGGTGCCCCTAAACTATTTTTAAGTGTACAGTTCCATGGCATTAAGTACATCCACACTGTTGTGCAGCCATCACCACCATACATCTCCAGAACTTTTATTTACATTTTCCCATACTAAAACTCTGTACCTATTAAACACTCCCCATCCTTCCCTTCCCCCCAGTCCTTGGCAACTACCATTTTACTTTCTGTCTCTGTGAATTTAACTACTTTAGGTACCTCACATAAGTGGAATCATACACTGTCATTCTGTCCTGGCTTATTTCACTTAGCATATTTTCAAGGTTCATACATGTGTCAGAATGTCCTTCCTCTTTAAGGCTGAATATATTTCATTGTATGTATATACCAAAATTTTTTAAAAAGTAAGCTCCACGCCTAGTTTGGAGCCCAGTGTGGGGCTTGAATTCATGACATTGATTGAGATCAAGACCTGAGCTCAGATCAAGAGTCAGATTTGTAACTAAATGAGCCATCCAGAAGCCCCTTGTTTATTCAGTCATCTGTGAATGGGCACTTACTTGGGTTGCTTCTACTTTTTGGCTGTTGTGACTAGTGCTGTCCCTTAG